AACTGAAAGCACACTGCTCACATCCCAAGAAGGCTCATCCCTTACTTGGATTACAACTTTAGAAAGATAAGTGAACTCCTTCAAACACCCCTTCTGCAATGAACAATGAAGAACAATAAACTCCTCACGAAAGGGAACATGTATAAAATTAGAGCAGGCAATGACTTTAATATGCTAAACTCAGATTACCCTATTAAATAAAGTTATCCTAAAGTATCTGTTACAATTAATAAATAGTTCACATGGAACTAAATTACGTCTCTTAACTCATGGAATATAGAATTGCTAATTGTTTGTCAAAAGTATTATAAAGCCAGAGTATGGTACCTAAAATTTGGTATCACAAAACATGGTTCTCAACCTTTCTTGAAAAGATGAATTAATAACACATTTCTGGAGATATCAAAGGTGTGTACCACCACAACTCAATACTTTAAGGATACAAAGAATCTAGTCTTGATAGATTTTCAGTGTTAGATTTTTGAGAAAATTTTAAATCAGGTTAGCTCTAAGGTACTGAATGGTTCAAGCTCTGAAAGGCAGGTGAGATCATGGGAAAGGGATCTTAACCTTAACCTGATCTCTTGGGATGGGTAAATCATGAGGAAAGATTTTCATTCTCTTTAGACCAATATACCACAGGGAATTCATGTGTTAATATCTTGGGTAATAAGAGGAAAATGTGCTCAGAAGCAGAAAAGGAGCTGTAAAATCCCCTTTTATTTAGTTCCTCACCTTCTTCAATCTGGATCTGGGTAGATATCATTATTGCTCTTGATTTCTACATTGGCTTCCTTTTTATGAGTTGTTTGAGGAAAAGCTTCAGCATCCATCATCAGCCATTTTGAAAGTAATTCAAACTTCCACATAGCCTCTCACAGACTGCTAATTCTGTCTAGGTGAGTCGAAAATCCAGTAGATCTTAAAGAGAGGTTTCAAAAATCATAGAACCTGAAAATTTTACTGGAGGTAAAATATGAGTGTAGTCAACCTAATCCAGGGATAAGATATTGCCTGATTTGTTATGTTTGCCTAACTAATCCATTTATAATTAATTCATTTAACTCATTGATATGGGTGCGTGTGTTTGACTCAGCAATACAAGGACCACTGTCAACAAGGAATGAAGATCTAGTAGGATGACACTGCAGGTGAGTGGAAAGCAAATCAAAGTTCTGGTAAAATTAAAACATATATTGAGAAACATTCTTCTTTAAGGGGATAGTAAATTAAGTGTGAAGTGTGCTGTAAAGTGAGGTTTTTAAAATTGTTAAATGGGGTGTTTCCTGATCATGTTTTGTATTAATTCAAAGGGGCATATGTGCACCCCTATGTTCACAGCAGCACTATTCAAAATAGCCAAGTAATGGAAACAAGCTAAGTGCCAAAAACAGGTGAGTAGATAAAGCAGATGTGAAATATATTCACAATGAAGACTACTCAGTTATAAAAATAGATAAAATCCTGACATTTGCAGCACTGTGTATGGAATAAGAGGGAATTGTGTGAAATAATTCAAGAGAAAGACAAATACTGGATGACTTCGCTCATTCAGAAAACAAAGGAATAGACAAAACTAAACCAAAAGAAGACCAGGAAACCGGACTGTGGAACTGAGGCTACAAGGGAGGGTAGGGGTAGGAAACAAGTGAGCAGGGAGCAGGGGCCCAAATATCTGTGCTGGAGGATTATGAGTGCTTTGGTAGTGTAAAGAGGGCAAACCTATTCCCCAAATCAATGTTACCTCAAAATCAAATATTACCTCCCCCCAAAAAGCAATCCAAAACAAAACAGTGAAGCTAAAACATTTAAGTAAATTTTTTGCAATAATTCTTAATACTGTGAAATACTTTAATCTTTTAAAATCCTGCTTATTCTGCATTGTCTATTTTGCAAAATGTGTGTTTATTCTCTTTGTTCAATATTCTCTGAGTGTTCAATCCTTAAAGAGTCTTAATATTATAAAGGTATCATTCCTTGTTTGAACAATAATAATTGTTCAAATTATTATTTGCAGCTATGTTGTTCTGGGATTCAGGGAAGTACAAATAGGGTTGACAATCTCTCAGGGACCAGCTGAATTTAATAGATCTCCCACACCCCCATGCCTATTTTTTCCTCTCTATTTCTCGCTCCCTCTCCCTCTCCCTCTCCCTATTTCTCTCTCTCTCTCTCTAATATTTTATTTTTTATTTAAGTGCAGAACAAATTATAGTCATATTAAAATGGAACCCCAATTCTACATGTCCATGGGTGTTCACCAACTAGAAATTGGGCACTATGTCTTCATTATTTTTTCTACTTAATATTATTTGTATTGAGAACTAATGGACATATAACACTACCTTCAGATGTACATGGTAATGATTAAATATATGTACATGTTACAAAATTATCATCACAATAAGTCTAACATGTTACATGTTTTTCTTCTAATGAAAATTTTAAGATCTATTCACTTAGCAACATTCAAAAATGCAATAAAGTATGCTTAGCTATATTCACCATGCTGTACATCAACTTATTTATTTTATAACTAGAATTCTGTACCTTTTTTGGTGACAGTTTTTATTGTGCTAACATTGGTTTACAACATTTTGCATGATTCAGAGAATATACTCATGCCTCTTTAGATGCCATCACATGCCTGTATCATACACATGGTAAAGAGTAAAAAAGAGCCACAGAGTATCATGGTCCCAATAACCCAATAACTCATGGTGTTTCTGTCTCTCTCTCTCTCTCTCTCTTTCTCTCTCTGTCTCTCTCTCTCTCTTGCGCTCACGCCCCCGCCTCCCACCTCCCTTACTCTGGCTTCTTGTGTGTGTGTGTGTATGCGTGCACATATGTGCATGTTCATGCATAAACATTTTCCAAACAAGGATACATATTGAATAGATTGTATGGCCCATTATGTGACCCCTGAATACAGAAGTCAAAATGGTAACCAATAGATGGAAATAAAGCAGTATCTGTTTCTATTCACCCTATTCATTTGAAACAAAATTAATTAGGTAAAAGGAAGCATGTGAACCACAGATTCCCTGTGTTTCCAAGTGTGTCAGTAGCAGGGAGAGCACCTCATTCCTCAGCATTTTCTGACATTTCTCATCTCTTTCCCTCTTACTCATTCTGAAAACACACTTTTTTTTTTAAAGATTTATTTATTTATGCATACAGAACTGGGGTACAGGCCAGAGGCTCAGGGGAGGAGAGAGGCTTCACCAGAGACAGAGTGGGGAGCAGAACAGGCAGATCGACAAAGTACACTGCTGAGGGGAGCAGCGGGCGGGTCAGGAGAGGTCTGCCACGCCATGTGGTCACCTCCGGGGCAGGCGGGTATCGAACTCATGCGGAAGTGGTTTCAGCTTCTTAGTGCTGTGTTTTAACCTGCTGCGCCACCAGGGAGGGCCCTGAAGACACACTTTTGAACCTTGATTTCCTGAAAGAAGTTCCTCAGGACCTTTGCACTGGCTGATGCATCTCATGGGTACATATTTCCCAAGATAAACTCTTATCTCTGCTCTCTCTCCATTGAGGCCTTTGTTCATTCATTTTCTCATCTACTAGACAACCTCTTGAAAAGTCACTCCTAGCCACTCTTTATACCGCTTGTCTTTTTTTATCTCTCCTGTCACATTCTGATGTGATGTATGAATTTTGTATTTGTGTATATTGTTCTCTGTTTTTCTTTTACATCATTCTTAATTTTGTGCATTTTTTTCATCTCAGTTGTAATCCCCATGTGCTTCCACCACCAATTCACCCGTGTGCCATTATCACAGTCCAGTGGACTCTTCCCATCCCAGTTCTAAACCCATTCCCCTTTCTACCCCATAAAATGTCTCTGGTATATAGTTGTTCATTGTTTTCATTTTTACTCTATTACATTAGTTTCTTTCTTTTTCCCCCCTGATCCCTATGCTCCTGCTATGGGTGAAACCATCCAGTATTTTTCTTTTTCTTTCTGGCTTATTTCACTAAGCATTATCCCTTCCAGTTCCATCCATGTTACAGAAAAAGGCATGAGTTTGTCTTTTTGATTGCTGAGTAATATACCATTGTGTATATGTACCACATCTTCTTGATCTAGTCATCTATTTTGGGGCTTTGGTTGATCCCACATCTTCCCTATTGTAAATAGTACAATAATAAACATGGGAGTGCAGGTGTCCTTTTGAATTGATGTTTTTGTGTCCTTTGTTTATATACCTAGGAGTCGGATTGTTGGGTCATATGGAAATCTCTATTTTTAGCCTTTTGAGAAACTTCCAAACAGCTTTCCATAGTAGTTGTATCAGCTTCAGTTCCCTCCAGCAGTGTAGGAGAGTTCCTTTTTTTCTTCCACATCCTCACCAACAAACAACTAGCGATAACAAATGTTCTCTAAATTTGAACTACCAAAACTTTTGTTTCTCGGCATCCAATCCTCTTTGCCTAGTTGTATTCAGTACTCAATTTTTATTCCCCAAATATATGACAAAATTTCCCATTAAAAGTATATAATGCGGGGCTCTCCCTGGTAGCTCAACAGGTTAAAGCACCACACTATGAAGCCACCACAGCATGAGTTTTATCCCCAGCCAGGGAACTAACCCACATGAAGTGGCAGATCACTCCTGACCCACCTGCTGCTCCCCTCAGCAGTATATCTCAGTACATCTGCCTGTTCTGCTCCCCACTCTGTCTCTGGTGAATCTTCTCACCCACCACACCTCTGGCCTCTACCCCAGATTTATAAGCATAAATAAATAAATCTTTAAAAATAAAAGTATATAATGCATGACTTGGTTGGGGGGAAGTTGCACATGGAATGGGAATTATTCATCAGGGATGGCACAGGGATCCTTGAAGGGCACGAATTTTATACAACTTTTATAGATATTGTAGATATTGATTTCATGCCTGCAAAACATAAATTGTAGAATATCTATTATGTTAGTAATACATATTTTTGAGAAAATTAGTCTGATTCTTTTTCTTGGTAGTGAAAGAAAAACATGAAATCTGGAAATGTTACACAAATTACAGAATTTCTTCTTCTGGGATTATCAAAGGAACCAAAATTGCAACCGTTTGTATTTGGGTTTTTCCTCTCCATGTACCTGATCACTGTGGTGGGGAATCTGCTCATCATCCTGGCCATCATCTCAGACTCCCACCTCCATACCCCCATGTATTTTTTCCTCTCCAACCTGTCCTTTGTAGACATTGGTTTCACCTCTACCACCATCCCAAAGATGCTGCAGAACATTCGTACACAGAGCAAAGTCATAACACATGCAGGCTGTGTCACACAAATGAACTTTTTTTTGCTTTTTGGATTGTTGGACAACTTTTTTCTATCTGTCATGGCCTATGACCGCTTCGTGGCTATCTGCCACCCTCTGCACTATAAAGTCATCATGAACCCCCGGCTCTGTGGGATGTTGGTCCTGGTGTCCTGGATCATCAGTGCTCTGTATTCCTTAATACAGAGTTTAATGTTGTTGCGGCTGTCCTTCTGCACAAATGTGGAAATCCCCCACTTTTTCTGTGAACTCACTCAGATGGTGCAGCTGGCCTGTTCCGACACTTTTGTTAATGAATTGGTATTGTACATTGGGGTTGTGTTGCTAGCTGGCAGTCCCTTCTTTGGTGTTCTTTATTCTTACTCTAAGATAATTGCTTCCATACGTAGGATCTCATCAGCTCAGGGCAAGTATAAGGCATTTTCCACCTGCGCATCTCACCTCTCAGTTGTCTCCTTATTTTACGGCACAGCCCTGGGAGTGTACCTTAGCTCTGCTGCTACCCACAGCTCACACTCAAGTGCAATAGCCTCGGTGATGTACACTGTGGTCACACCCATGCTGAACCCCTTCATCTACAGTCTGAGGAACAGAGACATGAAGAGGGCCCTGAAGGCACTCTTTGGGATGGAGCTCTTAAAGGGGAAATGGTCCTAGGACTGAAGAAGCACCTATGAATGCGTTGCGCAAAGTCGATCCAAATTCTGCAATTCGTTTTTGAGACTGCAAAAACAGAATATGTCTCTTCTTCTTATTTCCTGCCATTTCCATTTTTATTTCAACTTCTCTGAACAATTTATACAATGATTTAATTAAGCTTTGCTATCTCTCCGATATTCAACTTTTTCTGTTGTCACTTCACCATTCTTCCAATGTTACACCTGTGGATCTTAAATATTTGAAAATCCCATTTATCTAAAGATGTTGTATGGATTTCAACATGAATTACTTAAATGGAATGTATCATACTGAGTAATTTTTCTTTGTTTGACTCAAAGAATAGTCATGATTTGTATACCATTCCTGTGGGAAAACTACTCTGGATAACTGTAGTTATTTGTATACATTAAAAACAGAAAAAACTGAAACCACTATTTTCCACTTTGTGAGCATCATTCCTGTGTATATATCTACATTAGCTTCTCATTCTGTTAATGCAAACTTTAACATACTGGCTTTTTTTTCTACTGCTAAGTGCCTATTCTTATATGCAGCTTGATATCTACCATGCCCACCATAGTTACTGGCAAAATTTGGTAACAGAGTACATGTCTCAAAGTGGTGTTTCCTACATTAAAAGGCAACTATAGGCCCTCCCTGGTGGCGCAGCGGGTTAAAGCACAACACTAAGAAGCTAAAGCCACTTCTGCATGAGTTCGATTCCTGCCTGCCCCGGAGGTAACCACATGGCATGGCAGACCTCTCTTGGCCTTCCCGCTGCTCCCCTCAGCAGTGTACCTCATCGATCTGCCTGTTCTGCTCCCCACTCTGTCTCTGGTGAATCCTCTCACCGCCCCTGAGCCTCTGGCCTGTACCCCAGTTCTGTATGCACAAATAAATAAATCTTTAAAAAAAAAAGGGAACTATAAATAAGTGGATTGATACAATGAATCACAGCATTTGGTGCAAACTTAAGTTAACTTTATGTATGATGAAACAAAATATTGAATCAAGCATTGACTGCTATCTAAAATATTTCTGTTTTAAGCAGTTTATTTAGTCATGAAATATGGAAGGTAAAAGACAAATTCTATTTTTCAAGGGATTTATTTATAGAGATGATAGATCAATAGCATGCTTTTTTTTGCTTGAAGTTTTGAGAATTGGTTCTTTCCATTTCTCAAATGAAATATCTCTCATACAAATGAAATACCCCTCATACGAAAATGCATATCCTGGCAGATTGTCAAAGTTTTCTCACAGGAACTTCAATGGAGTGTTTGTTTCATGCAGTGATCTTAAATAAACTAAAAAAAAAAAAAAAACAGAGTAATCATGAATGATAGCTTCCAATACAAAAGCCACTACAAAGAGAGGAAGCAGAGCATTGCCATTGTCTTCAAGATGGCCTCAGTTAGTTAGTTATTGCTACAATACATCCTACATCCATGCAGCCCACCCTAAGTAAACATTTTAATATAATGCCTTTATAATCAATTGGGGTTACAAACAAATGAGTTGTTCTCATCTCTGTGGGGTTCCTCCTAATTCTGTAGCTGTTTTTCTTAGGCTTGTCCATGACAGATGAGCCTGAAGTGCTCTCACCTCAGCCAACTCATTCCATTCTGTTCCATTTTTGTATGTAGTTAATCTTCCAGTTTATGGAGAAATTAATTTGTCAACTGCTAATTGCTTCAAATTTAATTTCATTGTTTTGTTAGCCATCCATGAAGTGTTCCTTTTTCCCAGTTAAAGAGATAACTCTGCTGCTGTTAGATACGGCTCAGCCACCTACGCTCTGCGTGGCACCCGCATTCCTGAAATCTTTTAATTCTAATTAATTTGTTGGAGCACAGTTTCATAGCAGATGGCACATATTTACTGTGAAAGTTGAGGAGTTAATCGAGTCATAAAAATTAAGAGTAGATCTTTTACAATTTCATGTTCATGTCGTTTGAGAAGGTGCACAAGTTTTAACAGCTTTGTTATGTTACTGTTATTTTATCCCCCAAATCTCCTTTCCTTATTTCTGAATGCAATGTAGAATAATAAACATGACTTCTGAGAAATGCTGTGAGGAAAAATAAAATGCATAAAAATACTTTATTGAACCCAAAGAAAATGATCAAATTTAAGGATATGAAAGTGTGTGTGTGTGTTAGTGTGTGTATATATATTATATCAAATAAACACATAAACATTTGTACACACAAGGTATCACTTATAATTCCTGACATTATTATTATGTTAGGAAAAAATCCTTGAGAGAAAGTTAAAGGATTAAAAAATGATAAATTCGGCCCTCCCTGGTGGCGCAGCGGGTTAAAGCACAGCATTGAGAATCTAAAGCCGCTTCTGCATGAGTTCGATTCCCGCCTGCCCCGGAGGTGACCACATGGTGTGGCAGACCTCTCCTGACCCGCCCACTGCTCCCCTCAGCAGTGTACTTCCTCGATCTGCCTGTTCTGCTCCCCACTCTGTCTCTGGTGAAGCCTCTCACTGCCCCTGAGCCTCTGGCCTGTACCCCAGTTCTGTATGCACAAATAAATAAATCTTTAAAAAAAAAAAAATGATAAATTCACTGTACCAGCTAATGAAGTTCAGTATCTCCAGATTGAATCTCATTTTCTCCTATTTAACATGGAATTTAAATACAACGCAAAATACCTTTACACAAATCAAACTAGATGAATGAATTGAGAGACTTAACGTTGGTTTCTGCAAACAAAATTCAATTGGCCGTATGTCTGAATATGATTCTTGGTATTATCACAAATTACCACACTAGGACTTTTAAAAAACTTCATTTTTTTGAAGGGCATTTCCTTATTATAATGTATATACTTTGCTCCTTTGTCTCCTTTGTCATATATTAGTTGTTTATAAATCTGTGGGGTTTCTTTTCTGGGCTTTCAATTTATTCTTTGGGCCTGTGTGTCTGCTTTTGATTCTGTACCATGTTATTTTAATTATGTCTTTATAGTATAGTTTGAAGTCTATAAGTGTGATACCTCCATTTACCCCCTTTTTAGTCAGGAGAAATTTGGGTATTGGGGTTTTCTGTAGTTTCATATTTACATCAGTAATCTTTATTCTAGCTCTTTGAAGAATGTCACTGGGATTTTTATGTCACTGGGATTGCATTGAATCTATAAATTGCTTTGGGTATGATGGCCATTTTGACAATGTTGATTCTTCCAATCAGTGAGCCAGGGATGTCTTTCATTTCTTTGTGTTTTCTTCTGTTCTTACAACAATGCTTTACAGATTTAGTTGCATAGTTTCTTCATGGGAGAATTATGGCAACCATTCCAGAGGGGAGAAGACCAATATTATGAAAAAAATAACAAAGATATAAAATAATACTTCATTAAAATGTATTTTAAAGCAAAAAAACAAGTTTTTGCCTTAAAAATTTAAAGATGAGTGGCCCTCCCTGGTGGCGCAGCGGGTTAAAGCACAACACTGAGAATCTAAAGCCGCTTCCACATGAGTTCGATTCCCGCCTGCCCGGGAGGTGACCACATGGCTTGCAGACCTCTCCTGACCCGCCCGCTGCTCCCCTCAGCAGTGTACTTCCTCGATCTGCCTGTTCTGCTCCCCACTCTGTCTCTGGTGAAGCCTCTCACTGCCCCTGAGCCTCTGGCCTGTACCCCAGTTCTGTATGCACAAATAAATAAATCTTAAAAAAAAAAAAATTTAAAAATGAGAAGCCAAAACAAGGTATGTTGGACTTAATTAATGTATCTACACAACTGAGATTAAGTGGGATGCTCTAGGGGAGAATGAATTTCCTTCCTAAAACACTTTCTAGAGCCTTCTGCTTTCTTTGGGTGTGGCGCTTTCACTGTCAGAGTCAACAGCATATTTTCAAATGCCTCTTTGACTCCAATTCTGCTTTTTCTCTTTTCTACATTTAATAGAGTGTTATAATTGCTTTACACAAACCTGGATAACCCATGCTAATCTTCTCATTTTAAAGTCAATACTTAGCTACCAATTTTATCTGCTGTTTTAATTCCCCATCCTATTTTAGGGAACATATTCAAATGTTCTGAGACAAAGGTTGTGACATCCCTTGGAGGCTCTTTTTTGCATAACAAAGTCTTTTTCAGATGTATATTACCTTACATCCCACCCACCCCCCCAAGAGCCTTTGTATTTTTTTATTTAGGGTAAAATTAGTTTATAATGCTGTATAATTTTCAGAGCTTCATACCTCTTCAACAGTATATACCACACAACACTTGCCACCAAATTTCTACTCATCCACCATCAGTCAATCAAACCACTCAATCCATCTTCCTGGTCCCAACCCCTTCTACTCTGGTAACCAGAATCTAAAAATTTCTTTTTGTTTCACTTTGACCATTTATTTTGTTTCTTTATAATCCACATAAGAGCAAATTATAAAGTTTTTGTCTTTCTCTGCCTGATTTATAAACTTAGCATAACTCCCTCAAGTTCTATTAATTGTAACAAATTGACTTGATTTTTATATAGCAGAGTAATATTCCATTGTGTCACATACCAGATCTTCTTTATCCATTCATCTATCTTTGGGCATTTAAGCTATTTCCCTATCTTGGATATTGTTAATAGTGCTGCAGTGAACATAGGGGTGTATATATCATTTTTAAATAAGTATTTGCATGTTATTTGGGTATATACATTAAAGTGAAATTGTTGGATCATAAAAAAGTTCTATTTTCAATTTTTTGAGAATCCTTGATACTGTTTACCCAACTGGCTCCTCCAATTTACATTCCCACCAGCAATGCATTATATTTTACCTCCAAATACTGCAAACACTATTGTTTCTTGTCTTTCTAATGATATAGGTCAATATCTCAGGGGTAAGATATCTCATCTTTTCATGTGTTTATTGGAAATCGGAATGTCTTCTTTAGAGAAGGATCTATGCAGATCCTAGGCCCATTTTTGATAAGGTGTTTTGTTTATGTTGAATTCCATGAGTTTTCTATATTGCTATACAT